CCTGCTGCCACCCCCACTGTCCCCTCATCCCTCCCCTCCCCTCAATCTCCTGTTGTACACCATCCCTGTGTCCTCCCACGCCCACCTGCAGCCCCACGAGCAGTTTTGTGTCACCTCCAGTGTCATCTCCACGAGCACATGTGGAGACAGTCCAGTGCCGTGTCCTTCCTGTCTCCCATGTCACGACATGCCCTCCGTGTTCCCATGTCACCATGTGCCCTCTGCGTCCCCCCTGTTTCCTCCCGTGTCCTCTCCATGTCTCTGTGCCCCCTCTGTGTCCTCATGTGCCACCCATGTCTCTTTGCCCTCACCATGTAGGTGTCCCCTCACCTCCTGGTGTCCCCTCTGCATCTCCTCCCCATGTCACCTTCATGTCCCCATGTCCTCTCCATGTCTCCGCATCCCACCCATGTCTCCATGTCTCCGTGTCCCTCCACATCCCTATGAGCTCACCGCAGTGTTGGAGGGCAGCACAGAGTAAGTGGCCTATGTGGCACACCAGTACCCCCACTGCCATCCCCGCTGTCATCAATGCTGTCCCTGTCACTGTCTCTGCTGTCACCGATGCTGTCGCTGCCACCTCCCAGCAGTCGATGGGCACTGAGGACATGCCCCTGGGGGGACATGAGGATATCAGGGAATACTGGGGACATTGTGGGGACATTGAGGGGACAGGTGCCCTTACTAAGGTAACCCTGGCCCTGCGGAGCTCTGGCCCTGCGGTACCCTGTCCCTGGGGGGTGCTGGATGCCCCTAATCTCTATGGTAATAGGTCCTCAAGGCTCTAGCATGCACACATTCAGAATCCCAGAAGGGGTGACTCTTCACTCTGACCACTCTGCATGGTCCCAATCTGAAATTGTTGGGGCTGAGCGTTTCTCATGCTAGGGGACACAGATGATGCGAGTTGTAACCATTCCACTGATGTCACTAGTGTTTGTTGATGGATACTCCTGCCCTGCAATACTTTTAGATAACAGAAAGAGCCGCGTCTCTGAACCAGAGATAAGGGAGTGTGCTGAGTCTTTGTACTGAAGAAACAAGAGGTCCTGCTTGCAATCAGTCAGTGAACACGTAACACGCTTCGGGGAAACTTCCGCATATGTAACATAGCTCTGAGAAACATCTGCATATGTCACACAACTTATGTATATAAGCTGAAGATCTTTTGTGCATGTAATGTGTGACAGGAGATTCCCTCACACGTCCAGCACTGTTACGAAAGAATGTCTGTTTTCTAACTCTCCCATGTATGTCAAAGAGACTTTCCTGGTTGACCATCTCACATTATCACAGACAGGCTCTGGCAGCCCATTTGTGCGCCTTTGAATACACAGGACGATCCAGGGGCACCTCCACAGTGCATCGCATAACCCCGGGAGCTCTGGGCATCTGGTCCCATGTACTGGAATACATCAGGGAGGTCTTCAGAGTCCAGTAGGGTACACTGCGAAAGGGATGAAGGACCCCAGAGCATGCTGAGGAGCTGGGATAGGGCTCTAGGATGTCTCTGGGGCTGCCCATGGCACACTCCGTACTTCTGGGACACACCTGGGTGTCTCTAGAGCTCACTGTGGGGCCGTGAAAGATTTCTGGGGCATATAGGGTCAATGGGCTCCACAGGAGTGAACTTATACATGGCTGCTTGCCAAGTTGCTGTTAAATCAGGAAGGCTTGGGACAGCAGCTCCTGGCAGGGCTGCATAAGGCACCGATAATTGATTGTTAATTGTCACCTTCCCTCTGGTTTCCGAAATAGCCAAACAGGCGTGTTATATATATATGGGGACTGTGTTCTGGAAATGATTTGTCTCTTCTCCAAATCTGCTATGACTTCAGAAATACCACATCAAGCTGCTGGTTATTACTCTTTTTTTTTTTTTTTTTTTTTTTTTTTTTTTTTTTTTTAAATGATTGCGCACCTGGTGGGGGGTGTGGCCAGCCCTGTGAGCACAGGTGGAAGCAATTCACCTATGGGACCGGATAGGGCTGATCCTGGCTCCACCCCTCCCTGACCGCATTTAAGGGCTTGGGAACCGTAAGGGCAACATCTCTACTTGGGGACTGCCTCCTTGGGAGTGTTGGGGTGAGTGCTTGTCTTTGGAATGAGGTGAGTGATTTCTGCTTTTTTTCAGGGCTGCGTTCTCTCCCTTTTTGGGGATCCTGAGCACTGCTATGGAGATGCCGCCTCTCCTATGAAGAAAGGTTGAGGGAGCTGGGCTTGTTTAGCTTGGAGAAGAGAAGGCTCTGGAGAGACCTCATTGCAGCCTTCCAGCACTTGAAGGGAGTGTATAAACAGGTGGGGAAATGGCTGTTTACGAGGATGGATAGTGATAGGACAAGGGGAATTGTTTTAAACTGAGACAGGGGAGATTTAGGTTAGATATTAGGAGGAAGCTTTTCACCCAGACAGTGGTGATGCACTGGTGTATGGGAACTGCTGAGTCACGGCCTGAACCTCTGATTAATCACCTGAGGTGAGCTTCGAGTCAGCCAGAGGAGCACAGGTGAAGGCAATTCACCTGTGCTGCCGGAAGGGGTGGAGCCAGACTCCACCCCTCCTGGACCTATTTAAGAGCTGGCTACCAGAGGGGAAGGATCTCTTCTGGAGATCCCCTCTTTTGGTATCTTCTGGTGAGCTCAACCCAAGGGTAAGCTCTTCCACTTATTCTCTTTTTGTGATTGTTGTCTGCTTTGCCTTACTCTCTTGATTATATTGCAATTATAACATCTTGATATCTAATGATTATACACAATTATATTGTGATTATAACATCTTGGTTATACAACTGGAACAGGTACTTTAGAGTCACTTCTGGGAGGATCTGCTCCATGATCATTCCCAGCACAGAGGTGAGACTGACATGTTGGTAGTTCCTGGGGTGTATGGGAACTGCTGAGTCACGATATGAAACTCTGATTGATCACCTGAGGGGAGCAATGAGTCAGCCAGAGGACCACAGGTGAAGGCAATTCACCTGTGCTGCCAGAAGGGGTGGAGCCAGACTCCACCCTCCTAGACCTATTTAAGAGCTGGCTACCAGTGGGGAAGGATCTCTTCTGGAGATTTGTTCTGCTGGAGTTTTGTAAGTGAGCCCAGTATATGGGTAAGCTTTCTATCTATTCTCTGTTTGTTGTCATAATCTGCTTTACCAAACTCTCTTGTTTATTTTGTAATTATAACATCTTAATATTCATTGATTATACACCAGGGTCATCCTTTCTATCCGTAATAACAGATGTGCTGTCGCCCTTTTTCTACTCACCAGGGACTTCACCTGACTGCCACAACTTCTCAGATATAAGAGTGTCTTGGTGACCGCATCAGTGTATTCCCTCAGAACTCTGGTATGTGTCTCATCGGGACCCAAAGGCTCCTGAATGTTTGGGTCCTCAGGCGGTCCAAAACCTGTCTGGGACGGGGAGAGGGGCAGTGGGACTGGCATCATTTCCTCAATCCCCACCTAACCAACCAAAGGTGAAGGCTGTGTATAATGAGCAGTTATCAGAGAAGATGGAAACAAAAATGTTGTAGGCTACCAGAGCCTTCTCCTTGTTTGTTGTTCCTAGCTACGGCAGTGGTAGTAGGAGCAATGTGTGCAGGGGGCAGCTCTACATATGTGGGACAGTGCCTTCGCTACTGTATTGTATCCAACAGGTGGCAGCAGAGAGCTGCAGTGCTTCCGAGTGCTGTAACAACTGCTCAGAGAGATGCATGTCTCTTCATCTGAACAGCGAGGAACGGAAAGCTGCATTTCCTGGAATGCCCCGGAACGTCATTTTGCTGACTGGTAACTGTCTGCCCTACAGGTAAGGGCAATGCACACCCACCAGTGTTTAACTCATCCCATAGCGTGACACCACATCGTGCTCCCAGAGGTCTTTATTGCACTTTATGGTGCCTGGATGGCTGCCTATCCTTTTCTTCCTGTGTTATCCTCATCTCTGGCCTTTTACTGCAGTGTTCTCCTTCCCTTTGCCCTCGGTGTTCCCTACTGTGTTCCCTCGCCTCCCTGTTTTTGTGTGCCACACCACGTTCTCTTGGCCATCACCCTTGGCTTTCTTTGTCGCATTCACTTTGGAATTTGGTTTTGGCATTCCATGCCACATTCTCTTGTCCTCCCATTTTGGCGTTTCTTGCTGCATTCTCTTGGCTGTTGCCCTTGCCTGGGCGTTCCCTTGCCCTCCCGTTCTTGCATTACATGCCACATTCTCTTGGTCATCGCCCTTGGCTTTCTTTTGCCACTTCAGCATTTCTTTTATTCTCTTCATCATTTGGTTTTGGCGTTCCCTGCAGCATTTTCTCGCCCTCCTGTTTTGGCATTTCCCGCCATGCTCTCTCGGCCCTTGCCTGGGCGTTCCCTGTGGCGTTTTCTTTGGCCTCCTGTTTTGTTGATCCCAGCCACCTTCTCTTGGCCTTCCGCATCGGTCCTCTTCACACCATTCTCCTTGGCCTCCTGTTTTGGCGCTTCCTGTGATGTTCTCTTAGCCCTTGCCTGGGCATTCCACGCCACATTCCCTCAGCCTTCTGTTTTGTCATTTCTTTCTGTGTTTTCTCGGCCTTTGCCCTTGGCTTTTCCTGCTGCGGTCTCTTTGTCCATATGTTTCAGCCTTCCCTGCCTCGCTCTCCTTGCCCTGACCTTGGCTTTCTGTGGGGTGTTCTTTTTGCTTTTGTCCTCTCTTTACCCTTGGTGGTTTGCTTTGCCTTTACTTTGGCTTTCTGTGGGAGTTCTGCTTCCCTTTGCCTGACCTGGGTTTTCCGCTTGCCTTTGGCTCTCTGGGATCGGCCGGGAGGCAGCGTCAATGTTAATCTTCACCTGTAGCTTAATGGGAGCTCTAATGATAATTGCAGTAATCCGCAGTGTATCTGTCAACCTAACCCTTAATCTGATACTAAAAATGTCCCTTACCCTCAATGCAGCAATAAAAATAACATCCTGTGTTTTCTGTCAAAGTAACCATAATCCTAATTGTAGCGCAGCAAACAATTGTTAAACTACCTTTAACTTCAAACTTATAAATAGCATTGATTATATCCCTAATGCTCCTTTGTGTCATTGTTAGTGCGACATGCCCAGGCTGCAGCCCCTGAATCTGTGGGGCAGTGCCTTCATTACTGTACTGTATTCAACAGGTGGCAGCTGAGAGCTGTGGGGCTCCCGAGGGCCCTAACAGCTGCAAGGAGAGGTGTGGCTCTTCACAGGAACAGCGCAAAATGAAAATCTGCATTTCCTGGAACGTCCCGGAACCCCACTTTGCTGACTGGTAATCGTCTGCCCAACAGGTAAGGGCAACACACACCCACTACTTAGTGAGATGCAAGGTAGTGTTTCCAGAGCTCTTTTTCACACTTCATGGTGCCCCGAGGGCCGCCTGTCCTATTCTTCCTGCATTCTCCTCATCTCTGGCCTTTCACTGTGGTGTTCTCCTTCCCTTTGCCCTCAGCTTTCCGTGCTGTATTCTCTTGCCCTCCTGTTTTGACCTTCCCTGCCACGTTTTCTCAGCTTTTGGCCTTCTCGGCGGCATTCTCTTTGGCTGTTGCCCTTTGCCTTCTCAGCTGTGTTTGTTTTGGCCTTCTCGGCCGCAGACTCCTTGCCCTTGCTTTCCTTGGGCTTTTCCTTTGCAGTTCTCCTTGCTTTTGCTCTTCCCTTGCCTTGGATGCTTGCTTTGCTTTGCCTTTTCCGTGATTGTTCTGTATGCCTTTGGCTCTGGCTTTGCCTTTGGCTTTACCTTTGGCTCTCTGGGATCGGCTGGGAGGCAGTGTTAACGTTAATCTTCACCTGACCTGTAGCTTAATGGGAGCTCTAATGATAATTACATTAACCTGCAGTGTATCTGTAAACTGAATCCTTAACCCAGTATTAAAAATGTCTCATAAGCTAAATGCTGCCATAAAAAATAATGTCCCATGTTTTTTGTCAAAGTAATCTTAGTTGTAATTACAGTGTAAAATGTTGTTGTTAAACTGTAACTTCAACCCTATAAATAACATTAATTATATCCCTAACTCTCCCTTGTGTCATCATTAGAGCAACGTGTGCAGGGTGCAGCTCTACATATACAGGGCAGTGCCTTCATTACTGTGTTGTGTCCAACAGGTGGCAGCGGAGCTGCAGCTCTCCCGAGTGTTGTAACGACTGCGCAGAGATGTGTGGCTCTTCACGGCAGCAGCAAGGAACCCGAATCTGCATTTCCTGGAATGCTCCAGAACCTCGCTTTTCTGGCTGGTAACTGTCTGCCCAGCAGGTAAGGGCAATGCACACCCACCAGTGTTTACCCATTCCATAGCATGGCACAACATGGTGCTCCCAGAGCTCTTAATTGCACTTTATGGTGCCCAGAAGGCTGCCTGTCCATTTCTTTCTGTGTTCTTCTTGTCTCTGGCCTTCCACTGCAGTGTTTTCCTTCCCTTTGCCATTGGTGTTTCCTAATGCATTCTCTTGTCCTCCTGTTTTTATGTTCCACGCCACGATCATTTGGCCATTGCCCTTGGCTTTCTTTGCCGCATTCACTTCAGCATTCAGTTTTGGCATTCCATGCCGTGTTCTCTCACCCTCCTGTTTTGGCATTTCCTTCCATGTTCTCTTAGCCGTTGCCATTGTCTGGCCTGTTTTTGTGTTCCATGCCGCGTTCTCTTGGCCATTGCCCTTGGCTTTCTTTACCACACTCACTTTGGCATTCAGTTTTGGCGTTCCCTGCTGTGTTCTCTTGCCCTCCTGTTTTGACGTTTCTTGTCGTGTTCTCTTGGCCATCATCCTTGGCATTTCCTTCCACGTTCTCTTGGCCCTTGCCCTTGTCTGGGCATTTCTTTGCCCTCCTGTTTTTGTATTCCATGCCGCATTCTCTTGGCCATTGCTCTCGGCTTTCTCTTGCCACATTCTCTTCAGCATTAGATTTTGGCATTCCTGGCAGCATTCTCTTGCCCTTCCGTTGTGGCATTTCCTGCCACGTTCTCTTGACCCTTGCCTGGGCATTCCTTACGCCGTTCTCTTTGACCTCTCGTCTTGGTGTTCCAGCCACATTCTGCATTGGCCTCCTTTGCTGTGTTCTCTTTGGCCTCCTGTTTTGGCACTTCCTGACATGTTTTAGCCCTTCCTCGGGCATTCCATATCGTGTTCCCCTGGCCTTTTGTTTTGGTATTTTGTGCTGCATTCTCTTGGCTTTTGCTTTTGGCCTTTCTTCTGTGGTCTCTTTGGCTGTATGTTTTGGTCTTTCCCATTGCATTCTCTTTGGCCTCAACTTGGCTTTCCATTGGGTGCTCTCTTTGCTTTTGCCCTTGCCTTAGCTTGGCTGTTTGCTTTGCATTTACCTTGGCTTTCCACGGGAGTTCTGCTTCCCTTTGCCTGCCCTGGGTGTCCGGCTTGCCTTTGCCTTTGACACGACAGCATTAAAGTTAACCTTGACCTGAACCCATAGCTGAATGTGAGTTCTAATGATAATTATGTTAACCTGCAGGGTATCTGTAAACCAAATCCTTAACCCAGTATTAAAAATGCCTCTTAACCTGATGGCATTACGGCAAAGGCCTATTTTTATGGCCTTTGCCATAAAAATAATGCCCCATGTTTTGTCAAAGTAACCTTAATTGTAATTGTAGTGCAGAATACTGATGTTAAACTAACTGTAACTTCAAACCTATCAATAGCATTAATTATATCCCTAATGTTAATTATAATTATAATTACTTACAACCCTTGCATCATCATTACAACAATGTGCTCAGGGTGCAGTCCCACACATGTGGGGCAGCGCCTTCATTACTGCACTGTGTCCAACAGGTGGCAGCAGAGCTGCGGCGCTCCTGAGAGCTTTAACGACAAGCACGGAGATGTGTGGCTCTTCACGGGAACAGCAAGGAACCAGAATCTGCATTTCCTGGAATGTCCCGGAACCCCACTTTGCTGACTGGTAACTGTCTGCCCAGCAGGTAAGGGCAATGCACACCCACCAGTGTTTACTCATTACTTAGTGAGGCACAAGGTAGGGTTCCCAGAGCTCATTTCTGTACTTCATGGTGCCCAGAAGGCTGCCTGTCCTTTTCTTTCTGTGTTCTCCTTGCCTCCAGCCTTTCACTGCAGCATTCTCCTTGCCCTTGGCTTTCCCTGCTGCGTTCTCTTGCCCTCCTGTTTTGGTGATCCCTGTGGCATTCTTTTGGCCATTTGCCCTCGGCCACCTTCGCTGCGTTCTCTTTGGCCTTCGGTTCTTGCCATCTGTGCCACATTCTCTTGGCCTCTGTCCTTGGCCTTCTTTGCCACGTTCCCTTTGCCTCCCGTTCTGGCATTCCCTACAACATTATTTTGGCCTTCAGTTCTGGCGTTCGTGGCTGCGTTTTCTTTGGCCATTGCCGTTGGCCTTCTTTGCCCCATTGTCTTTGGCCTTCAGTTTTTGCATTCCGTCAGCATTTGCTTTGGCCTCCTGTTTTGGCGTTCCCTGCGGCGTTCTCTTTGGCTTCTATTTTGGCGTTCCCTTCTATGTTCTCTTTGGCCATTGCTCCCAGCCTTCTTTGCCACATTGCCTTTGGCCTCTTGTTTTGGCATCTCCTACAACTTTCTCTTTGCATTTGGTTTTGGCCTTCTGTGCTACATTCTCTTTGGCCATTGCCCTTGACCTTCTGCATCGGCCTTCCATTTGGCATTCTCTGCGGCCTTCTCCTTGGGCCTGATCTCTGACGAGGCCTTTGGCATTCTCCATGCCTTTCCCATCCCTTTGCCCTCTGTTTTGGTGCTCCCTCGGCTCTTTTTCTTGCCTTTTGCTCCTGCCTTTGCCTTGGCCTTCCTTAATGGTCACTCTTAGCATAATCCTAACGTACCTAACCCTTACACCTTTACCCTGACCCTAATGAGCTCTGAAACCCAAATGCAGCTCTAATTGTAACCATGACAGTACAGTTAGCTATACAAAGTGTCCAAATTAAACCCGAACCTACCCTTCACTTGGGCACTAAACCCATCTGTAACCTTCAGTGTAATACTAACCCTAATCCTGTAGCTTCCCCGTTAAATACTCCTAACCTTTCTCTTAAGCCATTTCTTGGAGCGGTGTTTGGCTTCCACGTTTTGTGGGGGTGGGCTGACAGTGAGCACCGTTTGGGTCTCGGCGTTCTTCCTTCTAAAGCATGTCTCTCTCTGTATTACAGGTGAAGATGCCTTTGACACTTCCAGTTGATGACTTCCCCCCGGGACACCATCGTCTTTCCAGCCCTCCCACACTCACTGCAAGCTCGGTTCGGTCGAGCCATTACCCGAATCCCCAGTCCATTCCCTTTTCATGATCCTCCCGTCACTCTGCCACAAGCCCCTACCACCTCCCAAAGTCGTCGCAGGCAACGTGTGGGATGCAGCACTCAGTCTCATCCCACTCAGTTCATCCCATCAGCCTCAGCCCAGCGATCCAACCCACCCACACCCTTCCTTAGGGCCCTTCTACTCCCAGGCCAATCAACGCTTCCTTCTGATGCCGTCTGCATTCTATCCTGGCTGCTTTAAGACTCGTGCCCCTTTGTGGCCATTTTGAGAGTTGCGCTGACTTCAGCGTGTGCATTCAATTTATTTCAACCAAATCGGCTTCAATTTTACATTCAATTAATGTAAACCAAATTGGCTTTAAGTTTGCCTTGCTTACGGGGTTGGGTTAGCCTTGCTTTGTTTGTTCCTAGGCAGGGCTAACCCAACCCCGTAACCAACGCCTGAGGGCTGTCGGAGGTGATTTCTTTTCCTTCCCCGCCAGTCTGAAACTTGCGCCCCGTTGAGGCCATTTGAAGAGTTGCGCTGATTTCGGCGTCTGCACTCAATTTATTTCAACCAAATTGGCTTTAGCCTTGCAGTCATTTCGCATCAACCAAATTGGCTTTGGCTTTGCATTCAACTTATTTCAACCAAATTGGCTTCAGTTTTAAATTCGATTCATATAAACCAAATTGGCTTTAGTTTTACACTCAATTAGTGTAAACCAAATTGGCTTTAAGTTTGCATTGCTTACGGGGTTGGGTTAGCCTTGCTTTGTTTGTTCCTAGGCAGGGCTAACCCAACCCCGTAACCAAGGGCCGTTGGAGGCCATTTGTGTTCCTTCCCGGCCAGTCTGAAACTTGCGCCCCATTGCGGCCATTTGAAGAGTTGCGCTGATTTCGGCGTCTGCACTCAATTTATTTCAACCAAATTGGCTTTAGCCTTGCAGTCATTTCGCATCAACCAAATTGGCTTTGGCTTTGCATTCAACTTATTTCAACCAAATTGGCTTCAGTTTTAAATTCGATTCATGTAAACCAAATTGGCTTTAGTTTTACACTCAATTAGTGTAAACTAAATTGGCTTTAAGTTAGCATTGCTTACGGGGTTGGGTTAGCCTTGCTTTGTTTGTTCCTAGGCAGGGCTAACCCAACCCCGTAACCAAGGGCCGTTGGAGGCCATTTGTGTTCCTTCCCGGCCAGTCTGAGACTCGTGCCCCTTTGTGGCCATTCTGAGAGTTGCAATTTCTTTGGATGGGCTGAGATCTGCTCTGCTCTTGAGATGGGTTGCAGTATACAACATTTTCACAAATGTGATGTGAGTAATGGGGTATGGAGGCTTTGTGCCCTTTCTCTGGTTGGTCTGACATCTATGTGAACTCTGTGTTACAACTGTGCTGAATATGTGTGTACTGCACCTGTAAATTGCGTCGTGCCCTATATGCAATGTGTGTTATGTTGCGCCTCTAAACTGTGTTGTGCCATGTACAGAATGTATGGATGCTGTGCCTATAAACTAAGTCTTGGAATGAGAGACCTGTACTCATTACATGTTCTGCTTCTCAAGGTGTAGTTGCTGGTATAGTGTATATGTATATGAATCATGTCTTCTGGAAACAGAGCTGTAATAAACAAATAGTTAAACAGCGCAAGTATGTTGTGTGTCTTCCTTTGCCATGATAAGGACTTGAAGCACACGGGAAGGTAGGTGAGAAAGGTAGGTGCAGAGGGTGGAAGACTTGGGGTTAGACTTTCAGACTTGAAAGGTTAGACAATTAGAAGATTAGGATTACACAATTAGATGGTTAGACAGTTAGATGGTTAGGGTTAGACAATTGGACGGTTGGATGGTTAGATGATTAGGGTTGGACAGTTGCAGAGTTGGACAGTTGGACAGTTAGACGGTTAGACAATTGCAGAGTTGGACGGTTAGACAATTGCAGAGTTGGACGGTTAGACAATTGCAGAGTTGGACAGTTAGACGGTTAGACAATTGCAGAGTTGGAGAGTTAGACGGTTAGACAATTGCAGAGATGGACAGGTAGACGGTTAGACAGTTAGACAATTGCAGAGTTGGACGGTTAGACGGTTAGACAATTGCAGAGATGGACAGGTAGATGGTTAGACAGTTAGACAATTGCAGAGTTGGACGGTTAGACAATTGCAGAGTTGGACAGTTAGACAATAGGGTTAGACAATAGGGTTAGACAATAGGGTTAGACA